AGATTCTAAATTTTTAATTTGTTCTTGTTGTAATTGTACAGTTGACTCTAAATCAGAAAAACGCTTATTTAGAGCTTCTTCTTTCTTTTGATCCTTTGCAGAGGATCTTTTATTTTCAATAATTAATAATCCCACTGCTACAGAAAGTAGGAAAACTTCTGAAACCATTTCTGCACCTAAATCAATAGCTGCGTTTACATTTAACTCTACAGGTTTTCTAGTGGTATCACCTGTAAATTTGGAAAGTCTCAAATCCAATTTGTACCAAATTCTTGCCATTTTTACAATATATCCATGAAATACTGGACTTTTACTGGCTTGAATCTTAATTTGTTTTGAAAATGGTTTTGCAACACTTTTTATAAATAATGATCCAACTTTTAATAATGGTAATACCATCCTGCGTTATTTTGTGTTATTCTTATCAATCACTCTTATTTTTCAATGTTCCAAAATAAAAAAAAATCTCTTTTTTTTTTTTTTTTTAAAATGCAACATATATTTTTGTTGTTAAATGAGCAACAAATTCCAAAATATTACAGATTCAACTAATCAAAAAAAATCCAATGGTTTAAGTTTTTCTATTAATAATAATAATAGTAATAGACAAAATATAGTATCTATAGTTATAGATAAAGAAGAGAGTAGTAATAGTAAAAAACGAAAAGAAATTGATTCAATTTCTGGTACAGTTTTTAAATCACAAAATGATACTATACCAATTCCTAATCAACCAAAAGTTATACCATATAAAGATCAATTAAATATTCATAATCAATCTAATAATAATAATATAGATGATAAAGTAATAGAAGAAGATGATCAATTAAAAACAAAAAAATTAAAATCATTGGAATTGAAAGATAAACAAGATAAAGATAATAATAATTATTTAAATAATAATAATAATAATAATAATAATAATAATAATAATAATAATAATATTAAAAAAGAAGAAGAAGAAAAAATTAGTTATGATCCAAATAAAAAAGGATTACAAAAATTAAAATCAAAAGTAATCAAAAATATAGAATCAATATCAAATGAACCATTAATTTTAAAATTGGATGGTATTGATAATATTAGAGATGAAAATGAAAAATTTAAATTTGATTTATCATCAAGACCAGAGGAATCTAATGATTCAGATTATAGTGAAACTCCAATTGATATTTTTGGATTGGCAATGTTACGTGGTCAAGGTTGGGAACCTGGTAAACCAATTGGTAAAACTAATAAGGCCATTGTTGAACCTATACAATTTCAAAAATCTCAAGGTTATAGATTAGGTTTAGGTGTAAATTCTCCTTCACAAAAATCTCAACAACTTAATAGTAACAATAGTAATAATAGTACAAAAGAACAACAAAACTATTTAAAAGAAGGTACAGAAGTTGTTATTATAAGTGGCTTTAATGAAGGTAATAAAGGTATAATTTTATCAAATAGTTTAAATAGTAAAGGTCAAGTAACTGTACAATTAAATAATCAAAAAAAAGAACAAGTTTTAGTACAATTATCAGATTTACAAATTTTAAAATCTAAATTTGATAAAAAGGATAATAATCAAAATAATAATAATCAAAATAATAATAGTAGTAATAATAATGAAAAAAAAATTGAAACATGGTTATGTAAAAATTTAATTGTTAAAATTATAAGTAAATCATTTCAAGATGGTAAATTTTATCAAAAGAAAGCTACAATTTTAAACGTTGATAGAGAATATGGTGATTGTCAATTACAATTGACTGATGGCACCATTTTAAAAAATGTAAAGGAGAGATGGTTAGAAACTAGTATACCACCTGTTAGAGGTCAATTATCTGTTGTTTTGGGTCGTTATAAAGGTAAATTGGGTTTATTATTGGAGAGAAAATCCTTTGGTAAAAGAGATATTGCTGTTGTTTTACTAAAGGATTATTCTGATCCTTTAGAATTTGAATTGGACGATATTTGTCAAATTGTTACAAATAACAAATAACAAATAAATTTAGATAAGATCTTTTTAACTATTTGATGCTGGACTTTCTAAATTATATTTTACATTGGTAATAATTACCATTTTTTTAATTTTATCAACTGGTATTTGTTCCCACTTTTTTTCATTTAAATTATTAATATTGGAATAATAGACAATGATATATCTTTAATTAAAAATACATTCTAATGATTTTAAATTTTCAATATTTTGTAATAATTGTTCTCTTGTTATAATTGTACTTTGAATTTGAAGTTTTTCTACTATTATATTAGATTTATCATTTGCTAATTTTTCATTAATTTGTACTTTTAATCAATAAATAAATATAAAAATATATATATAGGTAAGCATTATATGTTAAAGTGTTTTTTTTTCAAATTTAACATACTTTCAACTGTAAAAGATATATCATTGTCTAATATTCCAATGTTTGGTTTTAATACATATCTAAGTGGTTGTGTTGTTAAAAATTTAAATAGTACAATTTCATTTCCTATATTTATATTTTTGGTTAATGTTATGGAATTTTTTAATGTTCCTTCAAAATTTAGTTCTTTTTTATCTGTTACTATATAGTTCATTGCCAAAGGTTATAAAAAACTGAAATTTTTTATCAAAATTAATATGAGACGCTTTTAGTCTCATGTTTAAATTAAACTTAGATATTTTTAAACTGCTTAATACTAAATTTTAATAAAAATCTCAGTCTTTTACAGGTGAAGAATATATGCTCTTGTTCTTTATCTTTGCTGAATATGGGCATTTACTACCATGCACTTTAGGCAAAAATGTAAGAGATACAACTTTCTTAACTATAATTTAAGATATAAAAATGAACTAATTAACTATTTATTTATCATGATTTAATAAAGTATTGAATTTATAATAATATTTATGGTATTTAAAATAGGTAAGAAGTAATAAGATGGATATGGACATATCTACAAAAAAAAAAATTGTTTTTTGTTAAAGGCGTACCAATTGATACCCTTATTCCCAGACCCCTAACATGTAGGAGTTGGATCTAAAGTTTATTTATGTATTAGAATTTGTATTGTATTGATTTGGTTTAAAATTCTTTGGTTCCGTTGATAGTACTCTTTCTTTATGAATCCCAGTCTTTTACAGGTAAAGAATATGTGTTCTGACGTTTCTGTTTCCTTGCAGAATGGACACACACTACCATGGACTTTTGGTAATGTCCGTATGTAGATATCTATCTTATAAGTACTTTGGTAAATCAAAGGACTTTACTTGAATTATATTCCAAATATCCAATAATCATAATAATAATATCTAAATCATCATTTATATAATAATTTAATAAAATACATTCATTCATTCAATATTTTCCATATACTAAATTATACATAAAGCACTTCATTATTTATTCATTATTCATAGTGTTTTACACGTATTAAAATTTTTGTTAAAGGCGTACCAATTGATACCCTTATGCCCAGACCCCTAACATGTAGGAACATGTAAGAGATACAGTATTAACAGTTACGCTAAAAGGTCTTAAGATGATAGTCATCCATTCCTGACTACCTTTTATGTATACTTTTATACTAATCTATACTGTACTCTTGTGTAACTTGGTAAGGAGCATTCTTTACAAACACGTATGTATTAAAAAAAATCGCTTTTTTTTTTTTTTTTTTTTTTTGTAAAACACTATGAATAATGAATAAATAATGAAGTGCTTTATGTATAATTTAGTATATGGAAAAATATAGAATATTGAATGTATTTTATTAAATTATTATATAAATGATGATTTAGATATTATTATTATGATTATTGGATATTTGGAATATAATTCAAGTAAAGTCCTTTGATTTACCAAAGTACTTATAAGATAGATATCTACATTCACCCCCCCTTTGAAATGAGACTCTTCTTAAGAGAGGCTCCTACAGGTAATATAGGTTTAAAGACCGATGGAGTGGGAGTGGTGGTGAGTACCTTTTTTGGATCAAACGATGGAGTTTGATTTTTAGTCATATCATAGAGGAGTGGAAGAATGGGAGGACCGTTATAGTACTCCTGAGAATCGACAGGTTTTTTCTTATTCAATTTTTCAATTCTGTGTTTGAATGGTTTGATGTTTCTAACACTAACTTTCTTATTTGAATATGTTGAAGGAAGATTCAATTCAACTACTTCATCTGAACAAACTCTAGTGATAACAAAAGGACCTTTCCAGTTGGGAATGAACTTATTTGTTTCATCTTCATCAGCAGGATGAAAATTCTTTACTAACACCAATTGATCAACAGCATATCTTTGGAGCTTTTTCACTTGTTTGTTATATTGATTTTGTTGGATTTCTTTAGCGTATGCATAGAGAAAACGTAACACAGTATAGGATTCGTTGAAAACTAATTGAATATTTTCGACATAAGTTTTTTGATTTTTTACTTGGAGATTTGTGACAGGATTAGGAACAGTTAAATGAATTGGTAATGTTGGATCTCTACCAAAAAGTATTTTGTAAGGAGACATTCCATAATTAGGAACGATGGTGGATCTAATGGCAAACAATACTACTGGTAGAAAAAATGACCAATTATAATGATTATTTTGAACATAGATCTTTAATAGTCTAATGATTATTTGGTTAAATCTCTCAGTGAGACCATCACATTGTGGATGATAAGGAGTAGTACTCAACTTTTCAACCATAAACAGACGATTAACATCTTTAATAAGGTCAGAGAGAAATACTTTACCAAGATCAGAAACTATTTTCTTTGGAATGCCATATCTAGAGATAATTTCTTTTACTAGAATATGAGCAGTAGTAATAGCATCAGCATTAACAGTAGCAAATGCCTCTACCCATTTAGAAAAGTAATCAGTAATGACTAACATATATCTATTACCATTGGATTCTACAGAGATTGGACCAACATAATCAATACCAATCATTTCCCATGGAGCAGATATGATATCTTGGGTTTGTACAAAAAATCGCCTAGTGATTGAAATTCAAATTTTTGGCACACTATATGGCTGTGTAGCACAGTGGAAGTGCGATTGGCTACGAACCAATAGGTCGCAGGTTCGAAACCTGCCTCAGTCGATACTATTGCCTTTTTGAAACCCGCCCTCTGAATTTTTGGTGTTTTGCTCCTGGAATGCCTAGTTATGCATTTATATGGTAAAAATACGAAATAGAAAAATTGGTTTGTTCTGTCGTTTAGTCTTTATATTTATCCAACACGCTAAAATTTTTTTTTTTTTTTAAACATATTAGTTGGTTACTAATTTTAATGAACATTTGCCATAAATTAGAAACGCTAGTATTATTAATCAAAGATGAGCCCTCCTACACCAAATATTAAAATAGACATAGATACAAAAAATATAAAGGATATAAGTGTTAATAATAGATTAGTATCCGCAACATTTTACGTTAATATAACGTCTAATTATAGATGTGGAGAAATATTGAAGATAAATGGCAGGATAGGAAATGAAAACAAGTTTAGCAGATCCAAAAAAATATGTAATGATGTAATAATATATGGAGAAAAGGAACATATTATAGAGTTTAAATTCGAGACTATTGTAGAGCATGATTCAATGATATGGATATTGGGAATAATAAATGATGAATTCTTCCGTATGGATATGATTTATATTTCTTTGGTAGATAATATTCTCAAATTAGAAAATATATTCTCTAGCATTGAAAGATCTATGGGAAATCCTTTTGTAAATTATCCAATGAATATTGAAAGAATATTAAGTATAGATACTTATCCCAAAAATGTCAAAATAGATAACAATATAATATCTGGATTATTGTATTATTCTGTAAATTCTAGATATTCAGAAAGTAATGTAGAAATAGAGATGAGAGTAGGAATTGGTGATGATATGAGAAATTCCAAAATGCTGAAAAGAGCATTTATAAAGTGTAAAAAATATGTTGCAAAATGCGAATCAATTGCATTTAATTTGGAAATATTAGATAATATTACCATATGGATATTAGTTTTCAAAAAAGATGTTCTTAAATGCTATGATTATGTATACATAAATCTATCAAATATTAGTAACAAAGTATCATTTGAATCAGAGGAAAAAAGATATGCAAGATTATCCAATTCCGATAATATTAATACATACTTTAGATAATCGATATGTTCGAATATATTACTACACATACATTTTTATCATTTATTTAAAATGTGTTGTAAACAATTAAATTTATCCAAAAAAAAAAAAAAACTAGATATTCATTTTTAATAGAATAGATATTATTATTTATTATAGACAGCTTTAAAATCTTTGATTTTGGAAAAATACCATCCACGATTTTGGAGCAATGAGCATGAGATGTACAATGACTTGTGTACGATTTCTCAGGTCGGTATTCACGTGCCCCGCAAATAATACACCCCAGTTTGTGTACTACCCCATGTCTGCCAGCATCAATACCATCTTTGATTGGATTTTTATTTTAAATAAATTGAAAAAATATATATTTTTAAACTGCTATAATAGATAATTTTATTTAGAACTCCCAATCATTACTATCTTCTCTTATATCGATATAATTATATTTAAATACTTCACATGCACTTTTTCTAGCTCCTTTTTCGAGTCTACGATCACTTTTTATATATTCAATATATTCAGATAATGAATGTTCTGTCATTACTGAGACAGTTTTTATAAGAATATTTCTAGCGCTAATAGGATATTCTCCATTTCCATCCCTATAATTAGGAGAGCCAAATAAATTTCTATCTATTATATTATTGTTATCATCGTTAATAATCTTTGTCACTTCTTCATTATCTATAGCATCATTGTGACTATCATAAAGATCATATAACATTGCTGCTATTCTACCCTCATCAGTAAATCCATTCTTGTTTGGACAATGGTAATATTCTATATCTCCAGCAGGGATGATTATTCCAGTGCCTAGATGAGCAAGATTATATTTTCCTTTGTGAAGGAATCTTTGTTCTGCTATGCCTAGAACTTCTTCCATTATTATCCCAAATCCAAAAATGGCTTGGTGTTAAAATTAAATGTGATTGTGGAAGATTAGTCAACAAAAATAAACTTTATCAACATTCTTTAACAAAATATCATCAACATAAAGAAATAGTCAAATTGATAACACAGTACTTTCACAGTTAAGTGTTTTAAATTATTTATTTAAACTTCGGTTAATGGTGATAATGGGGGTGATTGTGATTCTAAATTTGAACTAATAGAATTTTCTTTTGTTATTTTTACATTATTATTATTATTATTAATATTATTTTGAATATCATCGTTTACATTATTATTATTAATAATTTGAGTATTATTTTTTTGTAATTTTGATAAATCATCTTCACCATGATACATTGACAACGAATTAAACATTGTTTCAATGTAAACTTTTGATTCTTGATAAATCAAATTTTTAATATTATTTGTCTTTTCATAGAGTGTATAGAATGAATTGGAATCAATTGGTTCAATGGCAAGTAAATTACGTTGTAAGAATGATCTCTCTGAAGTTTGAATTGAAAATGGTGAAAAATTTGGTTGAATTGGTAAAAGAATAGTAAATGTAAATAATAAGAAAAATACCTAAAAAAATATATAAATATTAATATATTATTATATATAAATTAATGAAATTTGTTTTATACATACAAATAAAGATAAAGAAGCTGCCTTAGTAGTTGAAGTACCAGTAGGCTGAAAGATCTTACCGAAAGCCTCTGCCAAAGAAGGATTAGTTTTTAAGGTGGCAGTAAAATTAAACAATTGTTTTTTCAAGAGTTTGTTTTCCTCCTTGATTGAATTGATTTGAGATTTCATTGATTGATTTTCTTGGTTGGTTTTTTGTAATTTGGTCTCAATGTTTTCAACATAGGCCTTTCTACGAGAACGAGATTGTGATGCATATTCTCTATTCTTTATGAGACGTCTTTGTTTTTTTAATTCCTTTTCTTCGGCTTGTGTCAAAACGTGATTTTGTTTTAGACGACCAACATATTCCTCAATCTCCTTACTAGTCAATTTTAGTACCTTGTCACGTGGTAATATAGAAACACCACTGGTATCAATATCTTCATCATTAATATCATCTTCATCACGACATCTTTTTTTTGAGTCTTTAGATTTTTTACTATTTAATTCCATATCAGATTCTTGTGATGACTCTGATGTTGATGTACTACTAGAAAGTACATCCATTGTCTCTTTAAATGATGGTATAGCAACAACAGTTTTTAATTGATTATAAAATGATTCTTCTGAAAATGGTTTTTCCATAAATTCTTCAAATTGTGATTGTAAACTTTGTTGTTGGTGAGTTATTTGAGACATTTGTTGTTGGATTTGTTGTTGAATTTGTTGTGGTTGAAAATTTAATAAATCATTATTATTATTAATTTGTTGTTGTTGTTGTTGTTGTTGTTGTTGTTGTTGTTGTTGTTGTTGTTGTTGTTGTTGTTGTTGTTGTTGTTGTTGTTGTTGTTGTTGTTGTTGTTGTTGTTGTTGTTGTTGTGGTTGTATATAATTTAATTTTTGTTGTGATTGTTGTTGATTATTATTATTTTGTACAAAATTTAATAAAATATTATTAAAACTATTATTATTGTTGTCATGTTGAATAAAACCTTGTTGTGGTTGAAAATTATTATTTGGTAAAATTGACATTGTTGAATTTAAAGTATTTAATTGTATTGATTGTTGACTACCATCAGATGCTGGTGATTGTGGTGAATAATAATTATTTTCTTGAATTGGTGATGAACTATTGGAATAATAGGATGGAACTGGTGATCCAACTGGTGAGATGTATATTGTATTTTGTTCTTCCAATGTATGATCAATAAATTGTACCAATTGTTGTTGTTGTTGACCATTCATTAATGGTGTATTTGATAAATTTAAAAAGTTTGATGGTGAATTATTTCCATCCAATGCTTGTTGAAATGGTTGTGAAAATCCATTTGAAAGTTTAGTTTGATCAGTATATAAATTATTCATCCATTCAATAGATTTACTAAGATTTAATGAATTTGAATTAACATTGTTATTACTTGATTGTCTTAAATTATTATGAAAATTAAAAATTTCACTTGATCCATTAATTAAATCTGACATTTTGTGTATATATAAATAGAGATAAGTGAGACTTTTGAACAAAAAGAAATGGAAATTAATTAAGAAAAAAAAAAAAAGAAAAAAGAATATGAACGATTTGGTGAAAAAATTTAATTGAAAAAAAAAAAGAAATTTTTCAAAATCTATTAATGTGCCTACGTCGACAAAATTGTCTCAGTATAAACGACGTTGTGTATTCAATAATTTTTTTTTTCTCTCTTATTATCCTAAGAAATATTTTATTTAATAATCTAGATTTTCAATTTAAAAATAGAAAAAAAAAAAATTAACAAATAAAAATGAACTTTTAATTGAATTTCCAACGTTGACAATTGTCTATGTAGATTACCACGTTAAATATAACAAATCAAAAACCCAAATTTAAATATTACTAAATAAAGATTATTTTTTTTTTTTTATTTTATAAATATTATTTGATTATTTTTGCTTGTTTATAAATAATTTTGATTCAAAACCGAATGGTAAAAAATCATTTGGTAGTTGTTCAAAAAATATTGAAATTTGTAATAATAAATTATGATGATCTTGAGAGAGTTCTTTTGATTGTTGTTCAGTGAGGGTGGGGGATGATTTTAGATTAGTTAGGAATTTAGTTCGTTTAGTTAATAGTTGATCAAGGATATTACAAATGAGAGAGGTATTAGATTTTACACATGTCCAACCATGAGATTCATTTGGAATACTCGATAGGAAATTATAAATGTGAATTCTAACACTGGTTGAACTTTGGAATGCAATTTTACCTAATGCATCAACAGATTCCATACGTAATTGCCATGGATTATAAATTGCATATTGTTCCAATCTCTGAATTATTGAATTTAATGATTGATTTGAAATCTCTAATGATTTTAATGCTGTGCTGCTACTGACGGTTGGATATAATGATTGTGATTCAAATGTTAAAACATTTGCAACATCACCCAAAAATCT